CCCCCAAATGCCTTCCCCCTTCCCACACCAGTCCGCCGCAGCGCGCCTCGCCGCTGCCTGCCCATTATTCGCTTTCTCCCACGTAGAAAACACGCCACTCGCATCCTTGTGAGAGTGGCAACCAATCCAGGGGCCCTGAGACCCTTCCGCTACGAGCGGTAAAGCAATCTTTTGCGTGGTAGTGCCTGGAATGCATCGGACCCCTCCTCCAACTCATGCAGTCCGGACGTGCAGTTGTGTGCATCTACTAACACGGCCACTAATGCCTGCTGCGCTTCCGCGGCCGGCTCTTCGCCTTGACGCTCGCGACGAGGTCGCTAAGCCCCTTCTCCTCCGCTTTCGAAGCTTTCTTCCCCTCCCGCCCTTCAGCGTGCTTCTCGCGCGTCCGCTTCAAGATCTCCCGATTCACACTCGTGTCCGTGTACTTGGAGTGGGTTGGGTCGAGCGCAAACGCGGGCTCGTCGTAGATTGCAGCAAAGCGCGGGTCCGCGACGTCGACGCTGGCGGCGAAGCCCTCAGGCCCAAGTTCCAGCTCCTTGGTCGACTTCTTGCGGTGCCGCTTGCGCTTCTTGCCCTCTGCCTTCTCGGCCGTGATCAGGTCCTTGAGGGCAAAGTGGCGCGACGGGTCGTCGACAAGGCCAGCCGCGTCCGCATCGAACGTGACTGTGTTGGGCTCGCCGTCGTCCTTGGCCTCCTTATCTTTCTTAGGCTTCCCCTTCTCCTTCTTGCCCTTCTTCGGTGAAACAGGTGCCGCGTCGTCGCTTTCGTCGTCGCCGAAGAAGTCGTCGCCGCCCATCGCCTCGTCTTCGCCCTGCTTGACCTTGTCCTTCTTCGCGCGCTTCTTCTCCTTCATGCGCATCTGATACCGCTGCAAGGACGTCATGTTCTCCTCGTCGGTGACGGCAGGGTTCGTGAGGCCCGGCTTGAAAGTGATCTCGACGGCGTCCTTCTTGTTCTTGCCCTTGCCCTTGCCCTTGTCCTTCTTGCCGTCGCGCAGCTCCGCCAACTCCTCCTGCCATGCCGCACCCGCTTTGCCCCACACATCGCCGTCGCTGGCCTCGAGCAGCGCACGGAGCTTCTCCTTGCGCTCGCGTGCGCGCTCCTTCTTGCTGACCTTCGCGGTGCCCTTCTCGCCCTCCGCTTCCGCTTCGGACGCGGAATCGTCCGACGCGGATCCGGCCACGAGATTCGCAAAGTCCTCCTCCTCGATCTCATCGCGCGTGAGCGCACGCCGTGTCATCTTTGCGCGGTTCGGGTCGTCTTGGTCCCACGTAAGCTTGACTTTCGAGTGGCGGAGGGCGTCCGTGACGAACTCGTTGCCCTTGTACCCCTTCGGTTCCTTGGTACACTCGTCGCTATTGTCAGCTGGGCCCGGCGGCGCCACTCACTGCACCTCGCTCTCTTCAAACTCCATGCCCTCCGGCACGTAACTCAGGTCAAGAATGTTTGCGGTCCGCTCAAACTCAGTCCCGTTCAGCTCGTCGTGCACGAGCTGGGCGGCAGGAATGGTGCTGAAGGTCGCTATGGCGTAGTAGTATCGCAGTCGTTCCAGCTGGTACTTGCGCAGCTGGTCCATGTCGATATTCTCCTCGTTGCTGACGTCGGAGAGGATCTCGAGATCGTCGAGCTCGGGATCAAGACCGTCGTCAGAAAGAACGCCGCTCTCCGCCCGGTCATTCTCGGCCTCCTCGTCGGAGTCATCCCCGCCCTTGCCCTCTTCCTCCTCGCTCTCGCTCCCCCAGTTCTCGTCCGCGTCGGTGTGTCTCGATCTCTTGCGGCCGGTACTCTCGAGCTTCCACAGCCCACCACCAGGCCCGGCCGCGTCTTCGGCCGCCATCCTCTCCTTCCCGAATTCGGAAGGGTAGATGCGCACGCTGAGGAGCCTGCCCGGAGGCGGAGGAGCGGCCTCACCCTTCTTAACGGGAGGCTTCAGGAACGAGTTGAAGATGGTGAAGATGTCGGCAGCGCGGAGGTGGTCCCAGTCGAGGTTGACAGCGGCGATGCGTGTCGTGGGCTCTGCGCCTTCCTCCTCTTCTTCTTCCTCATCTTCCTGCATATCAGGCTCGTCGTCCTCGCTCAAGTTGATGCGGGGGCGTCCCTCGTCGTCACTCTCGCTCAGGTCGACGAGTCCGTCCTCTCCGTGCGACTCCTCTTCCGAGTCGGAGGAAGATTCCGGTAGATAGCGCATCTTACGCTTTCCGCCAAGCTCCAGCTCGTCCTCCTCAACTTCACTGTCCTCGTCCTCTGAGCCAGAAGACTCGAGCACACCCTCGCCACGCGCGTAGTCGACGCGCGCTTCGTCAGGTGATGTTAAGCGATAGAAGCGCTTCATGCTGTCTTCGCCCGCGGTGGAGACAACCGGGCGCCCACGCTTGTCCACCTTGGCTGCTGTTAGCGCAGAAAGAGCGACACACGTACCCTTCGATGCCACCTTGCCAAAGTCCGCCGAGAGCGCATCCTTGAAACGCTCGTCGATCTCGGTCTTGAGCGCCTTCTGTTTCGGCCGGCGGAAACGGGGGTCCGTCTGCAGGCGCGCAAATCGGGCGTCCTGGCTCATATTGCAGAATGCTTGCTTGTGCTAGAAGATGGAGGGTGTCCGATAAGGAGGAACTGCTGGAGAGCTGGAGAGCGCCGGCGAAGCTCGAAATGTTGTCGACCTCCACTTCGCGTGCGGGACAAATCTTGCTCACGTGACTTGAGTGGCGACAATAAATGACGTGGGTGTGATACCCGCATGTAGTGACGTTGCTGCGGCGGTCGAGCAGTGAGCTAGATGCTGAGCATCGGTCACGACCAACCGCCAACAATCATGGACGACCCGTACATCCTCCAGCCCGTCCTCGCGGACCTGTACGACAGTCGTGATCTCCTAGACTTCTCTGCTCCGGGCACGCACCACATCACGACCTTCTCCCCCACCGCCTCTCCACCAAAAGATAATGCCGTCGGGTCGCTGTTCAGCAGCGTTGCCGGGTTTGCGGCCGGAGTCGGGGCGCGCGCCGGCATCGCGTCGCCACCCCAAGGGCAGGGGTCTGGTTCACCAGGATCGCCGGGTGCGTCAACTTCACCGCGCAGAGGCTCAGGCTCGGACACCGAGGCGCCTGAGCGCCCAGAGGTGCGATGCGTCGAGGGGTTCGGGGCCAACCTCTACGTTGGGGGTAGCGATGGTGTAGTCGAGTGGTGGGTGTATGACGGGAGTGCAGGGCCAAGCGAGGTGAGTCGGCCAAGCTCATTGTCCAGTGGTCGCCGAGCTGGGTTGAGCAGTGTTGTTCACTGCTCTTCTGCCCCCTTCTTGCTGACAATAGAACCGAGGATGGAAGTTGCAGAGGAAACACAAACTCTTCCCATGTCGACCCGTCAACCGCGTAGTGCTGCTTCCCAAAGTCTCGCGCGCTCTCATCCTCTCTGAAGGCACGCTCCACTCACTCAGCCTCCCGGGGCTCGAGCCTCTACCCTCCAGCTCTATCGCGCCCGTGCGCGGCGTGGTGAGTGTCGTGCTCAACGACGACGAGCTAGACTTGGCCGACAAGGACGGCGTGACAGACATGACTGTCGTTCTCGTGAAGCGCAAAGGATTAGGCATCTATCGCCTCGGCCAGCGCATGACCATGGTTAAGGAGATCCCCCTGCCCGCCCCTCCAAAATACCACGCACTCTTTTCGACCTACATGTGTGCAGCGCTGCCGAGCGAAAGTGGATTGACGTACTGCATAATCGATCTCTCGGACGCGTCATTGACCGAAGTCCTCCCTGTATCTCAAACAGATCCGGACGACAGCTGGGCGCCCAACCCAAACGTCGTTGTCATTCCTGGAGAAAATCAGTTCCTCGTTACTTCCTACACGGGAGCCAACACTATGGGCGTCTTTCTCAACGGCCAGGGCGATCCAGAGCGAGGCACTATCGAATGGGAAGAGCACCCGCTATCCATCGCCGTTGAGAGCGGTTTCATCATCGCTCTCCTCCGAAATCATACCGTTGTGGTACACAGCCTCAACGACCTCGAGAACCCCGCGCAGACCATCTCGCTTGACCCCGCGGCCGGCGTCTTTGCCCTATCCTACAGCCCATATGGGATATCTATTCGCGACGTTGTCCGCGACGAGCGTATGGTCCACACCCGCTTCACTCTGCTGAGCGGGGCATTAGCTCCGCCCATCTCGCCGGTTGAGAGTCCAGAGTTGCCAGTCGAGGTTTCGACAGCTTCTGAGGCTGATCCTGCGCCAGATATTGAGGAGCCAGCCGGCGGTTCCGGCCTCACTCCTCCGACTTCGCCAAAATTCGCACGACAGCCGATCACGCCAGTGCGCAGCTCCTCTCTCCTCTCCGCTTCAAGCGCTCGTCGGCCCCCTTTCTCCTCTGTGATCGCTGAGACGCTCGTCGTCGGCCGACACTCGATTCAGGGACTCGTGCCAACACCTGTAGTCTTGCGCCTGGAACGACTGTGTGAGGAGCATAGGGTGGACGAGGCCATTGCACTCGTCGACGAGGAAAGGCGACGCGGACGGCGGGGGGAGATTGATGTTGACAAGGTGAGCTCGCCTACGGGTCGCCCACTGACGCAAGGCGACCCACTCTGCCACAATTCGCTTCATGCACCAGTACCTCGCGTGCCACTTGCTCGTTGAAACTGTGTTTGAGCGCGCCGGAGACTACTTCATGCGTGGGAAAGTTGACCCACGGGTGCTGGTCCGCCTCTTTCCAGCTTACCGAGGCAAGACGATCGGCACAGCAGAAGAGGTCGATGTGTACGAGGGCTTGGTTCCAATACTCGAGGGGATGCGACCCGTGGAGGACATCAGTGAGTTATCCGTGTCGTTCCAGCTGACGTAAGTCTCATCATTCCTCGACCGCAACTCGCCGCGCCCCGACCCATCAGAAGCAGAGGAGCTGCGCCTTGCGCTGTACTACAGTGCGAAGAACATGCTCACGGAGTTCCTTCGGAAAACGCGCGCGCAGCGGCGCAAGGGTGGCTCTAGGGGCCTCGACTCGCGCAAGATCGACATTGTTGTAGACACTACTCTCGCTAAGCTTCTCGCCGAGGAGGGAACAACCCACGAGTTGCTAGCGCTGCTCGGGGGACCCAACGACGTTGTGCTACTGGAGCTCGAGCCCTTCCTTGCCCAGCGCAAGTATGTGTTGAGCACCGTCATGAAGAGCCAGGGGCGGATTGATCGGGTATTGGAACTGTTGAAAGAGTAAGCAGACAACCTCTACAGTTCTGAGCTCATCTCAGAATAGCAGAAGGCCCACCCGATGCCCTCTGCGACGACCCCGTCGGCGAGCTAGTGCAGACGCTCGACACTGTCGACGACCCTGACCTGTTGCGCCACTACGTCCTGTGGCTCGTCACTCGCGAGCCGGAAAAGGCGCTCAGCCTCCTCATCACGAAAGGCAGCGCGATAAAGGTGGATGACGAGGCTCTAATCACTGATCTCGGCGCTGTGGACAAGGACGCCGCCCATCAATACCTCGAGTACGTCGTGGTAGGGAAACGTGCTGGTTCACCAGCCTTGCACGAGCAGCTACTGGCCCATCTCCTCGAGCAGGCGGAGGAGATGGTCGCAGACGACGGGATCAGATACCACCTCGAGGAACTGGATGCGGAGTTCCGTCTCGCTGGGAGCACGAGCTACGCCGAGTTCTTCGCGGAGGTTGCACCCCCAACGCCCTTCAAGATTATGCGGCTGAAGCTCATGCTGTTCCTCCAAAATGCAGAGTACGACTTGGCAGCTGCGTCCGAGCGGCTGGAAAGAATCAGCGTTCTTGTAACTGAGCGCGCGATTGTTCTCGGCCGCTTGAATCGTCACACGGAGGCGCTGAGGCTTCTGGCACAGGACCTGCCAGATACGGTGTCGGCTCAAACCTACTGCACGTTGGGGGGAGAGATCATTCCCCCCAAGGTCGCCAAGGCGATCACCAAACATGAACCTGGCCTTGCTGGATGGGTGGCCATGTCCGAGGGTGGGAAGACGGACAACGTCGATGCGGGAACACAGCACCGCCTGATCGTCGAATTGCTACGCGCATACATGCGCGATTCCTCTGGCTCGGCGCGATCGGCGAGCTTATTGTCCGCACAGGGTGTGCATCTCGATGTGGATGAGGTGCTGGACATGGCCCCGGGTGACTGGCCTCTCGATGCTGTCACGACATTCTATCGCCGCAGCTATAGGCGTCTACTGCAAGAGAAGACCACGGGGTTGATTCTCAAGAGCATTGCAGCGGGACAGAACCTGGAGGTGAGCACTGGCGCGCCGAGCCAGCCTTCCGTACCCGTAATTAGGCGAACTGCAGCTGACATGACCAGACTTCCGAACGGTACCTTGACGCTATTTCGCACCTTCCGCCCACCACCCTACACCCGGCAGACGACGCCGAGAAGAGCATTATCTACGACGAGAAGCATGACATCAGCGAGAAGACGCCCGTCGAGAGCGACGGGAGCGACGGAACGGAAGAAAAGCTGCGCGCGCAGGAGTCTTATCCCGCCGCCAGGCTATCACGAATGTGATTGTGTAGCACAGATACCCTGCATAGGATGCCAGTCACGAGTCACGAGATACATGGCACTGTTGGCGTGATTAGGTCCAGAGGGTCCCAAGCATGGGCGAAGGATCGAGGCGGAACGTCTCCGCGCATATATTGTCTCTCAACCGACCTTTCACGCGAAGGATGGGAGCGGGTGGGAGCGGGTGGGAGCGAGCGGGAATGTGCACTGAGCGATGGACATGGTTTCGCGACGACCGAGTATGCCATCTTCTCGCCTGGTCACCCCCAAGTTCGCGTCAGCGAGGCAGGCCTTGTACCACGCGTAAAGGCGAAAACCACATCAGTCTGTTTAGCGATGTTGGACATGCCCACCGAGCCTAGCACAACACACACTGCTCGTAGATGCGTACGGAGTCGACGCCATGACATGTGGACTCGCGTCTCTGTTGACGGGAGTTGGCAGGGAGCCTGCGCCAGTGTCGCGGCGAGCTCGAACCAATGGCCTTGACGGCGGGCAGAGCAGCGACGTCATCCGTAAATGGATGTATGGGGTGTGAGAATCGCCTGCGCCCAGCCCCACTTCAAACGATGCTTGCGCACGTCCACCAAGCTGTCGGTCACATCTCCGATTGCGCGCATGACGCCGATGCATGTCGATTCTTGCGCGGAATGTGGTCGCAACGGTGGTATGAACGGTGCCTGGGGTGAGTTGTCCGAATCCACCCGAGGGACGTGTCACCGCGGCACGCAAGCCTCGGCAAAAATTCACGTGTCGGGCAGCGTGCGACGCCGTCAGCATTGGCGACTACCCCCCGGCCCCGGCGGGTGACAGCGCACCGAGCGGGGTGAGGTCAGCCAGCGAAAACCGGTCTAAGGTCTAAGCAGTACATCTAAACAACACAAGTCTACTCCTGGGCAGTGGAGGCGGCAACCTGGGCCTTGCGCTCCTCCCACCACTTGGGGTGAACGGTCACTGGGGTCAGCTATGCTCGGAGATGTAGACGGAGAGGAGATGCTAGTGTGGCACGGACACTCACTGAACTTGATGTTCTGGTCCTGCTTGATCTTGTCCCACGGGCGCCAGTCGCCGTGGCGGTTCCAGACGACCTCGGTGCCCTGCGACAGGCGGTAGAGGTAGAAGCCCGCACCGGCAACGGCACCGCCAACGACACTGGGGGTCAGCAAGGCGCCGGGGGGTGGCCGAAGTCGCCCTAAGGCTTGGGCGGTACTCACGCGAAGATGGGGTAGGTCTCAACTGGCACCCACTTGGAGAAGGCAGAACGGGCAGGCGACTGGCGTTAGCGGGCTCAACGGCCAAGCGCGGCGCCAAGTTGAGAGGAGCAGATCGGCGGTGTGGCGTGCCACATCCACCACACCTGCCCACTGCCCATCACTCGACTCACCATTTTGGGTGTGTACGGTACGGGGTGGCTGGAGCTGGGGATTCGGACGCCAAGGGCTCGAGTCTTATAAGCCTGTGGATGCATGCGCGCTGCACGGCTTGTGAGTGGACACTGAGGTGAGGTGTCACGTGACCGGATTTAGACGGCCGGCCGATTGGCGGAAATTTGACCCGGCGCTGTAAGCCCGCCAGGGCGCTTGCCCCGCCAAACACCACCGTCCCACCGCGTCCCGGCAGGACCAACCGGGCGCACCCACAGCACAGGGTAACGCCCCGCTCTGGCCGCTCAGCCGCCGGCTTTGCCGTCGTGGGGGAACTCGGATAGGACAGGACGGCGACGGCCCGTGTGGCCCCGCCCCGAGCCGATGTTGGGCTGTGTGACTCGGCGCGCGACGATCGCCGTGCCATGTAGGCGGTGGCGGGAGGCAGATTTTTCGCGCGATTGGCGAGGGGAAGGGGCGGGAGGGTGGGTCCCCCTCGTCTTACCTGGAGATGTGAGGGAGGTGTGGTTGTGATTGGTGCCACGAGATGGCAGAAGTGGGACCCCGGCTGAGCAGCTGGGCACTCTTGATCGTTTGATCACGTCTAAGCAGAGGCGGCGATTGGCGTGGGATCGACAGAACTACTGACTGAGTCCCCGCGGGTGTGCCAAGGTGGCGGAGGGCACAAACTCCGCTGCTCGGCACGACCGATGGTTATACTCGCCACCTCGCCAGTCGCCAGAGGCGAAATGGCCCATGCCGGCGCCGATGCTCGATACGTTCTGCATTGCCACGGCGCTTGGTCTGATCCCGCAAACGCGTCGGTCAGTGTGCTCAGATCATTCTGACTGCTCATGATGGTGGATGCCATCCCGACCTCTGGTGCGATGGCCTGCGTACATGTGGCACTCACGTGGATACCGCGGTTTAACTTGGAGTGGGGCGGGGGCTGGTTGCACTCGCGGATGCTTCAAGATGAGAGACTCTGCCGTGAGGCCTTGGGCTCATCACTTTTGACCGTAGACACCGCAGCAGCTGATCTTCAAGTCCCAAGTCCCGCGGTGAACGCAATAACAACACGTCGCCCTATAAATGCACTACCCCAATGCACTAGCACTACCCCAAGTCCTCCGCGCGCTTCCGCTTGGCCCGGTGGGAGGGCAGGTCGACGCGCGCCTCGCTCGGCTCGGGCACGGGCATGCGGTCCACCTCGTCATACACTTGCGCAAGGAGCGCGGCGGCCTCCTCCTCCGAGTCGGCTATTGGCTCTGCGTCGACGTCCACGTCCATCTCCTCGTCCTCGTCTTCCGCGTCTTCAGGATCACTCAACGGCGCTGCGTCCTTCGCAACATGCCGAAACCTATTACTCCGCGTCGCCTGGCTCTCGCCCTCCTTGCGCTCGCGGACGGCTGCTTCAGCCTGCCGCCGTGCCATCGCGGCGTGCGAGTTTGGCGCCGCGTCAATAGAGTGCATGATGAAGCGCTTGGCCGCGTCTTTGTCGATACGGTTGCGCACTGCGATCAGCGCGCGTGCGGCTGGACACTCACGCTGCGGCTTGCCCGCCTCGGCATCGCGCACTTTCGCGTAGTACGTCTTGACGCGCTCCTGCTGTCAGCTCGGCCGCGGGGGGAGGGGCGGACGCACGAGCTCCGGCGCGACGCCGTGCGTGTCGGGGTCGATCCCGCGCGTCTTGAGGTACACTGCCGTCAGCGGGGCGGGGCATGTACGCACTCCACACGAGGTTGTTGATGGTGTATGCGATGAGCACGTCGAGCTTGGCGCGCTCGATGGTGCCGAGCGCATCGCGGGTTTCCGCGAGCGGGCGGGCGAGGAGGGGCGCGAGCGCCGACTCGAGCGTGTCGAGCGAGACGGAGAAGTCGCGCAAGGTCGCGGCGGGGTCGGCGTCCATTGTGATGGGGAGGTGAGCGGCTGGGGGCTGGAGTGGCAGAAGAGGAAGAGGGGTGGGACAGAGATGGGGGAGGGATGGCAGGTTGACAAGGCTTGAGATTGAGTGTGGTGAGGCTGTTGATTTAAAGGGTTGACGTAGAGCCTACCGGCGAATTGGGGTGGGCGGTAACACAACGGGAGAGACGTTGGAGAGAGAAGTGAGGCCGGTGAGGTAAATGAGGTGGAGACAATCACAGCCAACAGCCAACAGTTCCGGGAAGTCTTAGTCGCCTGATCGTCTGTGATCCGGATGTTGAAGTGGAGGTCCAGAGTGGAGGTCGTCGAAAGTTTTGGTCAACACGTAGGTCGGATCCCCAACTGCTATTGGTCGTCCCATCAGAGACGCCATCTCACCTGCACAACCACACAACGCTACAGTCACACGCATGCATATGCGCCAGTACAACACCGGCCTACGGAATCTACGAGTACAAGCCTTTCGGCATCAGATGGTCAGATTGGGCCGCCTGGGCCCAGGCAGATAGGGCATGCTGCAGAGCGAGCAGGCCAGGCAGGCAGGCATCCATAACCACAGCAAGCTCGCGTGTAAACGCAAAATCGACTCGCGCACAGTCAATCAAGACGCTCGCTCCATCGCACCGCAGTCCGGGCAGACGGCCCAGAGACTGCGGCCGCCGGACGGGTCGGGGTAGTCGCTCATTTTGAGCTTGGGGATGGAGGTGCACTGAGGGCCGTGCTGACTGCGTGCGAGCTCGACAGGTGTGGCGTCCTCGCCCAAGGGTGCAGAGGGGGACGGCTGCATGAGACCGGGAGACACGGGCGGGGCGAGGTTGGTCGCGAAAGACTGCGCCGACCACGCCGTCTGCGGCGACACGTTCGCGGGGTAAAACGCCGACGGGTTGTCGTCCATGGCCGTGGCCGGGTAAATGTCGAGGTTTGGGTAGCCTTTGCTGTCGTCGTCGCTCATCTCATCCTCGTCGGCGCCGGGGCCAAACATGAAGCCACCCGAGCCGCCCTCGGCGTACGAGTACTGGGGAGGCTGACGAGTAGTCTCGGCATCGTCCATTTCAAAGTCCATGTCATGGTCCATGACGTCCGAGGCTGATGCCGAGGTGGAGGCATCGGCGACCAGGTCAGGCATGTTGATTGGGAATGCAAAGCCCCCTGGGCCCTCGACTGATGGAGGAAGAGTACGAAGATGCTGGTGCGTGAGCGGCGCTTGCGCTTTGGGTCGATGACGATTACAAGGGGCACCAGGCAGCAGGCAAGCAGGGCGTCGCCGTGCCGCATGTCGGCAGATAAGCGCTCCGCGGCACTGCTGCAGCGGGACTTGGCCAAAAAGTAACAACCAGCCATTCACTTGGTTGCTTAACCCACGGGACCGGGGTGACCGAATACCCTGGTTTCCTCATACCCTTTTGACGCGCCTCAAACCTCAATTGTGCGACTCACCTTTGTAGCATCGAGACCCATGACCTCGTCCTGGTCGGGCTCGTCGTCGAATGTGCGCTTGCGCTTGGGCTTGGTGGACATGCCTGCGAGGGGCTGGGGGATCTGCTGGAAGGGTGCAAAAGTGGTCATTGTGGGTGTGGGGTGGGTTATGGCAGAGCACATGCGGCGGGGGGCAGAGCACGGAGTGGAAGTGGGAGTGGGAGTGGGAGTGGGAGTGGCAGAGGCCTGTGGTGGTGTGCGTGTGAGAGGTCTGTCAAGTGGTTGAGTGAGTGAAAGTGGAGTTGGTGAATGACACTGGAGGGAGGGTGGATGGATGGATGTACAGTAGGTGCCGAATATGAATCCAGGCACAGCGAGTTGATCGATCGCGAGGACGCGTTATAGGATAGCGTCGCGTGCCGGGGGGAGGGAGGAGGGAGGGGAGGGCAAGAGAAAGTAGATTGGAAGTGTGAGCGAGGTGTAAGCGTGTGAGCGTGTGGGCGTGTGGGCGAGTGGGGGGGCAAGTCAAGCAGCCTTTGGAGGAGAGTAGTGAGATGGATATGAAAGAGAGAGAGAGAGAGAGAAGAAAGAGAGGGAATTGAGCGAGGGCTGGTTGGGATATTGTATTCCTCAGAGTAGTTCCTAATAATCATCCGACTGGATTGATCTGGGATTCCAAAGTGGGGGGCACACACAAGTTGATCTTTGTGGCGGTAATCAGGTGATTTCCCATATCAAATTGGCCGCGCACCCCGGAAGCAGGCTGGATCTCAAGATCACAACTGTCCTCATCCCTGACCTACTTTTGGTCATCCCAATTCCCCCTCGGCTCTTGTGCCACTCCCCGGCCACATACAACAATCAAGGCACGTCCGTTCCAGGGTCTGCAGTGAACAGGCACGCCACACCCGCCATCTCATCTCTCTCCTCCCCCGCCTTTGGATCGGGCTCCTCGGATTCTCGGCCGCTACTTGCGGCCCCTGATTATCGGATCAACTCGTCGAACGGGGGACACGCACGCTCCATCTGCCTCCGCTCAAGCGCGCGTCGCTGCCTGCACTATCCGGATCCCTGTTTCCGCAATATGTCAGCCACCCCTTCAAACCACTCCTGTACGACAACTCACCTCCCCCATTATCCTCGGGTGGCACCCGCTCCACGCTCCAGCCCATGCCGTAGCCCACTCCGTCCGGTCGGACCACCAGCACCGGCAGCGCGTGTTCCTTCCCGCCCGTTTGGCTGGGCCGGTGCATCGTAATCGTCGACTCCGCCCACCCATGCGTCTGCGTCACGGCTACGGCTCGTGGTGATCCGTTCAGACTCGCAGCATTGCCCACCTCGTTCAATGAGGCGAGCTGATTCAGGCTGTTGACCCCAAACTCCCCCTGCTCTGGCATGGTCATTACGACGTCGTCCGACGCCGACGCCGACGCCGACGCCGACGCCTTGTTGGCATTGTGCAGAGCTTCCTGTATCGTGAGCGTACCCTCCCCCAGCCCCAGCCACGCATCTTCCGCCTCTTCGTTCTGCAGCTCGGCCGGCTGCATCGCCCGGATCAACTCCTCCGTTGCCGGAAGTTCGACGCAGACAATGACGTGTGGCACCGAATGCGGAAAATTGCTGCGCACCACCCCCGCTGGCGTGCGCGGGGCCACTTGAGAGTATTGGCCAAACCCATCGTACGGGAGCGCGTCGAGCGGCGCCTGCGGCTCAAATGGCTTGGCTTTGGGTGCCACCGAGCGCCATGTCGTAGCGCGAAGCGGGCCCAGTGGGCCAATGTATACTTGGAAAGGCTGTGCCTCGCCCAACTCGTTGGCTACGAAAAACTCGGACAGCGTCAGCTGGAGCGTGGCTGGAGTCGTCGACGTATCGAGAGCTGGGTTGACGAGTATGCGCGGCACAGGTTCCAAACTGCTAGACGGGATTGACCCAGTCTCGCCCATGCCATTGAAGAACGTATACGAAAAACACCCTGGTGTAAGGCGAGGCTCTCAAGTATGCAACCACTTACCCACGCCCGAAAGCACCCAGCACATACTGTCCTGCACCGTCTCGACGATAGAGGTGTTGCCCTGGTCATCTACAACGTCTTCCCGGTCCGCAGCTTTGAACATGAGCCCAGAGGCGCTGCTCCCCTGCTCCTCCTCTTCAATGACGGCACGAGCCAGCGCGTGCCGCTTCGTCTTGCGCTTTTTGCGTTGCTGCTCCGATTCCGGCTCTGTATCTGTCTGCTCGGCCAACTTGCCCTTGCGCAGGCGCGAGCGCGTCGTCTTGACCTCGCCAGCACCGGCCAATGCGCCCGGACTGGACAGATACCAGCGCCGCCCGCCAGGCATGTCATCCTCGAGATTCTCCTTGACTCGCACCAGCCCCACGCGCTGCAGCTCACTGACGGGGTGGCCGACGTCGTTGCCGACGACCGCCTTGTTCCTGTCCACGCGCACGAGGCGGAGCAGATCGCTGCGCATGCCGCTTGTCACGTCGACGAGGCGCACAACCGAGCCATAGTTCACCACTTCCTCGGGGTTGAATCTACCGCGCCGCTGGTCTTCGGGCGATGCGGCGTGCTGCACCGTCTCGAACCGGAACGGGGTCCACTTGGCCGCGCGCGCCGTGAGCGTGGGCGAGTCCGAGTCGGCGCCCTCGAGATTGAGCAGTTTCGTGCGCACAGTCTGGCCGTTGACGCGGACGATAAGCGCGAAGGGATCGTGTGATGAAAGACATGACGCCATGCTGCGCGCACGAGCAGTCTTCTGTGATGGCTTGGACACGACAGAGAGTGGGTTGGAGACAAACGTCGCCCATGGCAGGGGCGGGAGGGCCTGCTGCGACTGAGCGGGCAGCTCAGCATCGGGGATCGTCACGCTGTCGAGGGTCGAGCCGCCATGGGCGAGCGACGAGTGTGTCTCGCGAAGAGACTCGTCTGGGGTGTTGAGATGCGTCTCGAGCGTCTCGGGCTGCGTCTGCGTCTGCGTCTGCGTCTGCGTCTGCGTCTGCGTCTGCGTCTCCTGCTGGTGCTCCTGGGCGGCAGCGACGGCCGCGTCGACATCGCTCTCGAGGACGGGCGGGATCACCATGTCGGGGAACACGGTGTTGCTACCAAGCACTTGGCGGAGGGCAGCCTCGTCGAGGGGCTGATCGACCCCGTCTACCATGAGACCGAGGGGATGTCCGCTTTCGTCTACTTCGACGCCTGGCGCGCCGAGACCAAGCTCGAGGCGGAACTCCTTGCTCTTTCCCGACTCTTCCCCCACCCATAGCCCGGGGAAGGTGACTCCGTCCATGACCTCGTCTCTACCGCGTATGCCCGTCCGCTTCCGCTCCCACGGCAGCGTGCTGCCCCACCCGGCCTTGCTCGCTTGCGCGCGGATCTGCCGCGCGCGTCGATCGCGCTCGACCTTCTTGCTCCCGCTGAACTGCGGCTCGGGATCGGGATCGGACAGCCCAAATCGGTGGGACTGGGACGAATAGACCGGGCGGCCCGGCTCAGCGTCTACATTCGGGTGCGCGGAGAGCGTGACGAAAGTCACGAGCGATGCGAGCGGGCCAGACACACGCAGTGTAGGTGGCGGCTGGATGATGCTGCCGTCAGCGCGGGGAGCGGGAGGAGTCGTACCGCCGCTCCTTCCCGTAACTCTTCTGTCCCGTCTTGGGATGCCACACCTCTACGGTGCTGAATGTGTCGCGGCCACCGGCGAAGTGATCGCGCAGCGTACGCTGGATGCGCGCCACACTGGACGGGGAAGGTTGTGCAGCGCCTCCATCTCCATCGCGCCGCTGGGCTTGACCTCCTCCTGCTCCTTCCCCGGTCCCCTCTGCTCCTCCCCCTTCTTCGGGCCCTGCCGGCGCGCCGAGCGCGCCCTCCTCCTCTGGTGCGCCAGGCTTGGCGAGAACGTCAGCGTTGTCCGCTACGCATTCGTCGTCAAAGTGTGATTCGAGAGCCTCGGGGAAGTGTTGGGCATCGCCCTCGGCGAACGCGTATCCGCCAGTGCCGGATATAGCATTAAGGAGGAGGTCGAGCGGGGTATTGTTGTTCTCGTCGTCGTCGGCCATAGTGGACGGCCTGGGTTGTTGTTGTGACGTGACGGTTCTCCCACGATCGCCCGCTGTGCAATGGAGGATTGATGCTCTCCCACGATGTCCAAGTGTTTGGCGCGTGTGGCGCGCGTGGTCAGGACGATCACGTGAGGTTAAATGGGAGGGCTCAGCAAGAAGACATGAGTAAGTGACGTGGGCTTTGTTATCACAAATTACCGGAGTAACAACAAAAGTTTGGTGCACATCCTTCTCTTCACTTCACTCCATCTCACTCAAGTTCTCCGACAAGCAGTATGCACGGCATCACATTCGCGGCGCGCGATACCTGACTTACATGCTATCCTCCTCCCCCACCCACCTGTGCATCGCACACTGGCCTGACAACGCCTACAGTCTCCTCCTTTTTCTCTCCTTCCTCTCCTCCCAACCTCCCCCCCCCCCCCCCCCTCCCCCTCCCCCTACGCTCAACCCACCCTATGATGAGAATTGCCAACACATTAGAGTCAAGCTCGGAGACCCTAGTCGCCTTTAGGTGCTGGTTAATGCCGAGTGTCGGCCTGTTTGACAGTTTGCTGAGGGTTTCCTTGTCACCCATAGTCACATGCAACGCGTCGAGACGAGAGAGGCATGGAGGAATTGTCCGCTTCGGGTGCTGAATTCCCAAGTCCGCGGGGTGCGCCACCTCTGCTCAGACCACGCTGGCCGCTGGGGCCGTCCCGGCCTCCTGGCTCCCGAACCGTGAGGTGCTCAGACACAGTCCACCTCCTGGTTTCCAGTCGCAGACCCCCAAACTCACATATCGCGTCCATGCTCGATGCGTTAGCCTCATCCAAAGCTTCGGCGCTGGGACCACCACCCATTCCCACAGGACTGGAATGCGCTCGGACTGGCGTCATGTGGACGCTCTTGTCCGGCGTGCTTCGCGCTTCAGGCGCGAGGAACGAAGATGCATAGGACGCCCCTCATGCACCATGGTCTTACACAGCCATGGCGTTGTGTCATGTGAGTTGGTGGGACTTTTGTGTCGTCCATGTTGAGGCCCCTGTCGACCTGCAACCTGACGCACAAAGATCCAAAGTGGTTGCTCAACCTGCTCGCTTAAATCACCGTTGTGAGCTCGCTCCTGCTCGCCACTGCTGCTCCGAATCGGCCGTGTGTCATGATCATATACATCGCGAGTGAGGCGGAAACGAACTGATGCTACGTGGCAATAACATGCACCGGACCAGCCAGTGTCACATGTGAGGTGTCGAGAGCGTCGGCCCGCAGCACAGCTGCAGACGAGCTAGACAAAATCCTATCTACCACTGACCCTGCACGTACTCATAGCCAGGGTACATCGGTTGCGCGTAGTGCACGCCAGGGTACCCGCCCATGACCATGTGAGGCTGGTGGGAGTAGATCATAGGCTGAGGAGCGCAGCCGCCAGCCATGTCCATGTGTTCGGGCTGGACGGGCACAACAGCAAACGTGGGCTGTGCGGGAGTGCACGGCGTGGAGGGCGACAAGGCAGCCGTCGGGACTGATGGCATGTCAGACGACTCGGAGACAGACAAGGGCGAGAGCGAGGGCATGCTGGCGCTGGCCGAAGTGGTCGGGGTCGTTGTGCCGACCTGTTGCATGTCTACGAACCCGGTGGGCTGCGTGGGCGTGTGAATACCGTTCTGAGGCTCAGACATGGGAGTGAGGCCGAAGGCTGATGCACCAAGTCTAAGGTGGGGCGAGGGACGCCCGCCGGACGAGTTGGCGCGGTGAAGCGGTGATGGGCGTCCGATGGGTGATGAGTTTGTGGACGAGCCGTGGTATGAGCGGTTGCGGGTCAGCGGTGTGACCGGGGAGTGACGTGGTGGGCTCATACGTTGCCGAGGTGCGGGGCCAGATGATGGCGCCTGCTGAGCAGCAGCGACATAGGCATTGTACACCTGAGGCGAGGACTGCGAGCGCGCACGCATTGCGTGAGGCATACCAGGCATCATTCCACCGGGGACACCACCGGCCGCGAGGATGCCATGGTCCATGAGAGGATAACCACTGGGGCCAGCCATGGGGAAGGTCTGAGTCGGCATGTCCATTGTATAGGTGCGAACAAGACCTGGCATGGACTGGGTAGGGGCGCGAGGGGCAGTTGGTGGGCGACGGGGCATGGGCATCGCGCGACCCTCTTCAAGTCGACGGCGTTTGACACCATCCCACCACTTGGACGACGCTTGGAAGTGAGGGTGACCCAGGCGCATGCCAATCTTGAGGGCCTCCTCTCGGGCCTCCGAGTCGCGCACCTCACGACCGGCAAGAACAGCCTCGTCGAGCCAGCGGTGAATGTCCTCTTCGATGGCAGGGTAGCGACCGCCCGGGCGACGTGAGAGGCCGGCGGCGCCACCAGACTGCTCAGGGTCGAGCCAGCGGTCCTCCTGGTTGAGGATCTTTGAGATTGTACTCCGGTCAACGGAATACTCCTTGGCAATGTCCTCCTGACGAATCTTGCCCTGCGAGTTGCGGTAGATCTCGCAGATACGACGCTTGTCTTCAGGTGTGAGCTTGCGCTTGCGGCGGCCTGCCGCGGTAGTAGTAGCGCCATTAGGCGAATTGGTACCCGACGACGAGGCCGTACCGTTGACCGTAGCAACAGCGGGAGCGGAAGTTGTGGCAGCGACGCCCGAGGTGGGTGGAGTTGTCACCAAAGGCTTCGCCTCACCCTCCGTAACCGCCGAGGGCATGGCGGAGGAAGGTCCAGGGTACGATGCGTAGGCAGGCTGCGCCCCGGGCAGTGAAGCGGGCTCAACGTACTGCGCCATGGGCGTCAACTGTCCAGGCATGAAGGGAGGGCCCAGTGGTGGCTGTGGGTGGTACATCATGTGTGCTGGGTAGGCGACGCCATGGGGCATCTGAAGGGGCATCGCGTGCTGGTGGGGGTAGGCCTGGTACTGAACGTGCTGCTGGTGCTGCCAAGCAGCCGCTGCAGCGGTTGATGCGGGGGCGTCAAACACCTGAAGCGGGTCGGCGGTGGGCAGAGTAGGTGGTGCGGGGATGGCAGGCACAGCCTGCTGACCTTGAACGAGTGTCTGCTTCGAGACGCTAGACATGGCGGAGGTCGAGTCAGACTTGGTGACAACGTCGTCGTTTTGGTTGGTGAACATGGTCATAAAATCAACCTCTTCGTGGTGGTGGTGAGCGTCGGGTGTGGGTGCGTAGGTCGTCATTGTAGTTGCCATTGGGAGGGGGGGGGG